CAGCACCAGTAACACCCACGGCACGGCTACCACAGCACCGGTAACACCCACGGCACGGGTACCACAGCACCGGTAACACCCACAGCACCAGTAACACTCACGGCATGGGTACCGCAGCACCAGTAACACCCACGGCACAGGTACCACAGCACCAGTAACACCCACGGCACGGGTACCACAGCACCAGTAACACCCACAGCACGGGTACCACAGCACCAGTAACACCCACGCCACGGGTGTTGCAGCTCAGTGGTGCAGACCCGTGCGCACACAGCCATGCACAGAGCAGACCTGCAGGCACACGGCCGTGCGCGGTGCAGACCAGGGACGCCTGGCCATGGTCTGGTCTCCGTCTCCGTCCTCCCCCGGCCGCCCCAGCCCCCGGTGCCGCTCACCTGTCTTGCTGTCCACAGTGAAGTGCTGCTCGCCTTCCAGCATGCTGTACACCACCCGGGCACTGCTCCCGTACGTGGGGTCATCGGCGTCGGATGCCATCACCTGCATCACGGAGGTGCCTGTGGCAGGGACAAGGAGGAAACGTCAGGGAGGGGGTGGGAAGAGCAGCGCACGCCTCGGGCCGGGGGCTGGCAGAAGAGCCCTGGGAGGGCAGGGGCCAGCTCCGGTCCCTTGCATGCGCCGGTGCAAATGGGAATGGTTGGATGCAAACGCAGAATTTCCCCCAAAGCCCCAGGGCCAGGACTGCAGGCCCTGCCGAGTCCCCTTCTGTCCCACAGAGTGGCAGGAGGGGGCGGGACAGAGTGGCAGGAGGGACTGGACCGGGGCCATCTTGGGGCCGCTGCTCTCCAGGAGTCACTTTTCTCCCAGCGGATTTCCACTGAAAACCATCTGGGAAGGGGCTGGGGACAAGAAGTTACCACCAGAGCTGTCCCTTTCCCACCAGCACCGAGCGCCGTGGTCCCCTCCAGCGGGGGACCTCCCCATCAGGTGCTCCACACCACAGCACACAGACCCGCGAGGGGACAACGCCATGGGAGAGGAGGGTTCTGCTTGCCCAGAGCCAGACACAGCGCCACGTCCTCATGCTCTACACGTAGCAGGGCAGGACGACTATAAATTGGATAAAAGTCCATCAGATGTCTGCAATTAAGTTATTGATTTTCAACGCTGCCTCATTAAACTGGGTGCTTCACTCCCGAGTGTCCCTGCGATGGCTTTAATTTGACATCATGTTCAATTTGACAAAAGCAGGACCCAGGACATGGGAATGGGGCCAGGAGCAAAGGGGCTGAGATCTATGGAGACAACAGCAGGAGGGAGGAGAAGAAGCCTAATCCCAAAGGAGATGGTGCGAACGATGACCTGTGAGGACAGGATCCCCCATTCACCCCCAGCCCCAGACTGAGCGTCCCTGCCCCGGAGGTCAGGACTGGCCCCGGTCACCTCTGATGGATGAGGTGCAGGGTGGGGAGAAAAGCCCTGAGCTGCTCACAGGGAGGATCAAACCAAATCCCTGTGCAAGATGCTGCCTGGGCCAAGTGCTGACAAGGCTGGCAGAGAAACCAGTAATCTGCACTGGATGAGATCCCCCAGAAATGACTGCACTTCAAAGGCAGATTTTCCTTCAGAGACGGCTCCAGAGCAGCCAAAAATGAAGGGGTGGCCAGGAGAGGACATTTCAGCGCTGCATCCATGCCCTGCTCTGCCCCACGCTGCCGTGCACCAGCTGGGGAGCAGGGGCACTGCTCTGCTCCAGAAACAAGGACAGGCCCACAGGATGACCACAGCCAGGCTGTGTCACGAACAGCCCAGAGCCAGGCTCACTGCTCGCTGTCAGTGTCCAGACCCGTTTCGCTCCCAAGCAGGAGTGCACACATGGTCAGAAACAACCTCTGCTCCATCAGCGCGGGCAGAAACGGAGCTGGAGCCACCCCAACGGAGGATGAGGAGCTCCGGTGCCTTCCTCTTCCTGTCGGGAAGCCAGGGCGATTCTGCACCAGCCCAGGCTGGGCTCGGGCAGGAGATGGCGGAGATGGCAACGCTGGGACACACGCGCTGCCCCCGTCCAGTTCGCTTCTGCTCTCCCGGGAAGGGCCTTGCTGAAGAAAAGGAGCAGTTACCACGGCTGCTTCTCATCTCATCCTCCCTGGCCACTCCTCAGAGCTGCAGCTCTGCTGATAGCACGAGAATCCCCCTCATCAGTCTTCAGCAACAAGGCAGTTCCAGTCAGCTTACTGATGCTCTGCTGTCTCCAGTGAAGTTATGGAGCATCCCTGCGAGGCACGTCCAGACCACACCACAGCACCAGCAGCCTTGCAAACGGCTGTTTAATAACACTATTGCTGCGTTTCCTGGGAAGGCTCCGTCCTGCCTCCCGCTGCCCCTGCCCGGCAGCACCCCCCACTGCAGCACCCACCAGCAGTGGCCCTGCACAAGCATCCCACACTGCAGGAACCACTTGCTCTCACCCAGGCACCTCAGAGGCAAAGGGTTGAGACCCAAAGCTCACCCACACGTACAGGAGCCCACGGGAGCTGCTCCCTATCTGCAGCACAACCCGGGCTGCAGGCTGCTGCCCCACGGAGCCTGCAGCATGGCCAGCTCAAGGTCACCCGTACCAGGAACAGGTCCAGCTTTCCAGCATCCTCTCACCCCCCACTTGCCCCTTTTCCACCCTTCCCTTCCCCTCTTTCCACCTGGAGAACAAAGGTCTCAAATTCCAGCTCATCCCCATCCCCTCCTTCATGGAGATGAGCCTGGGGTCACCGGAGCCTGGGGACAGCAGCTCCCACCCTGCTCTAGCATTAGTTCTGCTCTGTGAGCACAGCACTGCCCACAGCAAGTACAGCGTGTAGGACTTTTATTTACTTTCCTGGCATGTGCCCTAGCCATAAAAGATACAATAAATAACATGCGAGCATCCATCATGTACTGAATAACCCACCTCCCATAACCAGGAAGCCTGAACTCGTACCCAGAGAGGTAATTAGACGTGTAAAGGAGATAAAGACCTCAGTGCCTCCCCTGGCCAGCGCACTCCACAGAACCAGAGGAAACCAGCAATTCTACATCAAAATTAACGAGTCAGGGTCCGTCTCTCCCTCTCCTGCTGCAAAGGTGTGGTCCAGCACAGAGCAGTGTCCCCAGAGGAAGGGGGGCAGCAGCCGCCCCCCACCACCCGCACTGGGGCCATGCAGCACCCATGGGTGCGGGAGGGACGCCCCTGCCCCTTCCCGCAGCACCAGAGCCTCTGGGGCGGTGCTGTTCCCGCGGCCAAGGCTGCAGACCACTCGCTATGCCACGCACTGCAAACGCGCCCAGCCAAAATCAGCATCGACAGGCGAACTCCAAACACATCCAAGAGCAGGGAGGCCCTGCGCTGAATCCACAAACGAGCCACTGGGAGCCGTCACTTCCCCGGGGACAGGAGCACAGCCAGGATCCAGGTCTGCCAAGAGGCAACCGCGCAGCAGAAGCCAGCACCAGCCGAATTTGGCTGCCCCTCCTGATGGCAGCCTCCTCGTCCCAGGGCCGGGCAGGAGCCTCCAGCACCCCCGGCTCAGCGGGAGCACAGCGGGAGCCCAGAGGACACTGCTCCGTGCAGACCCAGCCCCACTCGGTGCAGACCCAGGACCACTCAGTGCAGACCCAGCACTGCTCAGTGCAGACCCAGAACTGCTCTGTGCAGACCCAGCACCGCTCAGTGCAGACCCAGAACCACTCAGTTCAGACCCAGCACCGCTCAGTGCAGACCCAGCCCCGGTCAGTGCAGACCCAGCACTGCTTGGTGCAGACCCAGAACCACTCGGTTCAGACCCAGCACCGCTCCGTGCAGACCCAGCGGAGCCCAAGGGACACCACTCTGCCCGCACCCGGAGCAGACCCAACACCGCCGGCCACTGCAGCCCTGCAGAG